GGGGGAGAATTGTAACAACCCAGAAAAGTTTGAAAAGAAAAAAAATTATAATTAAGTAATTTGGCGAAAGTTGGTGACTAAATTAAAAGTTCTCAAAACTTGTAGCATGTTTTAGGGATAAAGGAAATTCAGGGACCAAGCCCTGAATTTACCCCTGAAGTATCGGCAGACACATATTATAAACGTGAAATTCATCCCGATGTCGTCCGACCTCCGATCGTTCTTTTGAAAACACCATCGTGTTCATCATCGAGCGAGGAACAAACCCCTTAAATTAATTGAAGTGAAACGCTGCCAAACGCCGTGAATTTCAAGTCAAAGTCTCGACTTTTTTTAGCACCACGGCCGAGAAAATCTTAAATTCATCGTCGATCGTTGCTCTATTTTCGATACCTCCCACACCATTGTGTTCCTTGTGTCGTTTCGAGTCCCCCGGTGTCATCCTTGGTCTCCGTCGGTGACAGCGCATAAGGAGGTGAAGCGGTCAAAGTTTCCGATTTGTTGAAATCGAGCTCTCCGTCGTTCAAAAATTTGAACCGAGCTTTGTAAGTGCCTTAAAATCGCTCAAAATAAATTTTAGAAATTTTTCATTGAATTTTATGACGCCGGAGAAGGTCCCACGCGCTGCCACTGCGCGTGGGGAAGAATCGACCAGTATAAAACCAGTTTTATCGGTTTTTAACTCTTTGACCGGTTTGAACCGGGTGGACCAGTTCGAACCAGTCTTACCCGACCCGACCGTTGACCTATTTTCGTAATTATTTTTAAAATTGTGCTATTTTAGTAATTTTTTGTGCTATTTTCGTAATTATTTTTAAAAAGGTGCTAGTTTCGTAATTAAATTTTAGAATGGTGTTATTTTCGTAAATATTTCTTAAAAGGGTGATAATTGTGTAAAATAGTTGATCATTTGTTAACCACCTTTGACCAGAACTTTGACTGGCCATTAAACGACCGTTAATCTTTTTCGAGTATACTTATCCTGACATTTTTCGACGTCCAAATGCGTTTTTGGGGTCTGTTTTGCCAAATTCGCCCAAATGTCTCCAAATTATCAGTCAAACCCTTTGACTTTGACTTTGACCAAGAATTTAAATTTTCGGAAGGTCATATTTTTATGTTTTTCGATATCCTGAATCTGATTCCGAAGTCCGTTTAACCAAATTCTGACCCAAAATCCTCGAATCGAGCATGTAAACCCAAAAGCGCTTAGTATTTTAGTATTTTGATTATTTATTTAAGATTTGGTTAAAGAATTGATTCAATAAAATATTTTATGAAGGTACTCGTGGGGGATCAGTTAGGTCCGGTGTTGTCCGTTCGTCAGATCAGCCCGAACCGCGTACTACAAGAATTACCCGTAGATTTCCGTATATTATTTAAATAAAGATTAAAATTATTTATATTAGGTTTCCAATATGGATTTTTCCAATTCGTAGGATCTAGCGCTGCAGCAGAGCGTGATCGACAAACCCAGTAATAGGCTTCCTTATCTAATTTCTCAGACTGTTACAGGTGTGTTTCCTGACAGTGTTACATTACTGTTTTTATATATATATATATATATATATATATATATATATATATATATATATATATATGAATATTGTGTATCTGATATCTGATTTATCGCATATTTCTGATATGATTTTTGGTTATGGTATTTTATATCGATTTTCTGAATATTGATTATCCGACATCTGAATTACTGTATATTATTGATTTGACTTCTGATTTTTGTATTCTTGTATATGATTTCCAAGCATGAACATTTTTATGCTTTAAAGAATTAATCATTGTTTTCATTCAAATACATTCATGATCATCTCTATCATTGGGGGGTATTGTTGAAGGAAGTATATCTGCAGGTTCCTCGGTTTTGTTCTCAGGGCCTTATTTGTTGTGTAGGTTGGGTGTACGGTTCTGGAAAACCTACACATTCTGTTGTGATGGGATGGGGGTAGTGTTCATATTTTTAACAACATGTTTGCATAAACCGATTTTACTGGAATATTTTTATCAGTATGTTTTTATATACACTGTATGGAGCACACTGGGTTTTTTAGCTCATTATGTAGTTTTTACCCTTTTTCAGATATCGACAGACTGTAAGCTAGCAAATTTGGCATCAGGGGAAAATCAACTACTTTTATTTTGTACAAACATATGTTTCTATATGTTTTCCAGTTGTATTTGGTGACATGTATTTTGTTATCGTTTTGGATATATCTGTATTATCAATATTTTGTCCCGTATTACCTTTAATATTTTACAAGTTATTTTAAATAGAAAAGAAAATGAAAAAAATCTATGAATGGGATATGTGACCGCTTAGATTTGGGTCTAGCGTACAGGCCGGGTCTAGGGGGTTACAAATTTAATATATTTCGTTTTCACCAATTAAAGGGTAACACGTGTCATCCTCTAATGGAATGAAAATTAAAGGCACTGAAGAGGGGGTCATATTTTTTACCATAAGACCTCATGTTTCTGTTCAAAGCAGGCCTCTTTCAATAGGAAACTCGGATTTTATTGATTTTGAAACATCATTCTATGTTCAAAAATGTTTTTTTACTAAAAAAAAGTTACTGATTAGCACTTCAATTGGTAATTACTGAGGCCCCAGTTTCATATTGTTCTAATTGTCAATCGGCATATGTTATCGTTCTATTTTAGTTATATTTGTTAACTGCTTGCAGATTAATATTTAGTTATGCTTTAGCTGGAAGGGAAACATGGACTGATGGAAGATAATGGTGATTTCAGATGCTGGGATGAATTGATTCCGGATGACTTGGGGCTGATTTTCAAGAATCTTTCGTGTTAAATGATCTCTAATCTCTAAAGTATCACTACAAATCATACAACTAGGATCAACCAAAATATCCATTCACAATAGCCTATCTCTCGTGTTAAGATGGTCTAAAATGACTAACAAGACAATGATCGAATATCTAGGAACGTGTAAAGAGAACCAAATTAACTTTTGCTAGACTATATGAGACTCTCTTCTCCTTATCTCACTCCACAGCCAAACAGTGTTAATTTGTTGCACTCCCAAAGCAGAAGCTAAAACAAAAATGATATTATCAATACTTTCATTAAATATTAACAACGATATGATTAAATGTATTTAAATAATTGAATAGTCTAATTAACAAAAAAAAGTAGTAGTCAGCGACTATAATTGGGTCCTCTGTTACAAACTTACAGTGTTTACTCAAACTAAATAAAAACATTTGAGTTCCTTCAATTATTTACCTTTCCTTCGCGTTTCTCCTTTTCTCTTTCCATTGATTTATTTCTTTTGGAGTTTGCTTCATTTTTAGTTTCCATTGTTCTTTCTGTAGTCTTCTACTACCACTTAAGCTCTCTTTCTCTCTCTTTCCCTTTCTTCTTTCTTTCAGATTTCTCTCTCCTTTTAACCTTGTTTCTGGCGGATAAACCATGTTTCTGCAGATTCATAAAAACAAAAATGCCCATCTTCTAGTAAATCCTTCCTATTCTTTTGTTCTCTCTCTTTTTTTCTTGTTATCTGTAAAGTGTGTGAAATTAGTACATAAATGTGTAAATATAATATAATGTTTACATTTCTATAGTGTCACTCATTTAGTGATGTTAAATAGTACAAAATGATGTTGGTTTTAATGATTTTTCCTCTCTGATCTATATTTCTTACCATAAGACCTCATGTTTCTGTTCAAAGCTGGCCTCTTTCAATTGGAAACTCAGATTTTATTGATTTTGAAACCTCATTCTATGTTTCAAAAATGTTTTTTTACTTAAAAAAATGTTTACTGATTAGCACTTCAATTGGTAATTATTGAGGCCCCATTTTCATATTGTTCTAGTTATATTTGTTAACTGCTTGCAGATTCGTATTTAGTTATGCTTTAGCTGGAAGGGAAACATGGATTTGATGGAAGATAATGGCGATTTCAGATGCTGGGATGAATTGATTACGGATGCCTGGGGCAGATTTTCAAGAATCTTTCACTTCAGGAAATACTTACCGTTGTCCCGAGGGTATGCAAATCGTGGCGGAGGGCGGTTACAGGACCGTATTGTTGGTAGGACATTGACATTGAACAATGGAGCCACCAATGCCGGACCAAAACCCTTGACCGGATGCTTCGAATGCTGATAACTTGAAGCTCAGGTTCACTAAAAAATCTGTGTGTTACCGGTCTAGCTAATGATGAGAGCTTTTCGTTCATTGTAGATAAGTACGAACATATCTTTCAATTGCATTATATGTTCAAATCCCTTTGCATGAAATTTATCGAAGAACTGAAGAATACTGGATTTAATGGGAAAATGCTGTCATTTATTAGCTAAGGCAACCAACACTAGACCAAAAACTAATACATGGTTGGATGAACCTGCTTATATTTTTCATTTTTGGCTGTGATTTTATTGAAGATCTGTATGTTAAGTATCTTACTAATAGATTAGGGAATAATAACAATCATAGCCGTAAAGATTCTAAAGAATCTGAATCGAATTCTACTGTCAGCGCATAATGGTCACATTCCGTTTTATTTAGCAACTCGATTGTGGATATTGTGAATTTGATTATTGCTGCTATTATTTACTCATTCTTCCCTGCTTCTAGTGCCAAATCTCTTCAGACTTTACGGCTGCCAGGAAGCGAAATAAGCGATTCAATAGTTGAACAGGTTGCTGGGAGGCTTTCTTCAGTAACTTTCTTGGATTTTAGTTACTGCAGGAACATCGGAGCTCCAGCTCTTGAAGTGATTGGCAAGCACTGTAAGCTACTAATGGGGTTGAGGAGAACAATGCACCCTTTAGGGGTAATCGATAAACTGTCTCAAGACGATGAGGCCTTTGCCATTGCTATGACGATGACAAAGCTCAAGCAACTCGAGGATTACCGGCCAACCAAACGGGGGAATGAGGATTCTATTCCCCCCGTAATCATGTATGCCTTGAACCAAACGGCCAGCATTTAACAATTACCACTTTCCAGCATTCGATTATTATAACGCCTTAATGCAAATGAAACATCATCATCATCCATGAAACCATACGCTGCTTTTCTTCTTCTTTTATTTGAATTTTCAGTAAAGATTGGTTCTCAAAAGTTTTCATACATAACTGTTTCCAAAATGTTTTTTCTAAGCTTTCTTTTTCTTCGGAGTGGTTGAGTCGAATATGACAATCCAATTCGAAAATCGGAATGTTTTTGAAGGGGGGAAAAACTTAATAAGAAAAAGACTTGATAAGAAAAAGAATTTACCTTCCCATCATATTCTTTTTTAGACAAGACCTCTGGTGCAATATAAGTTGGGGTTCCTACTGTTGATTTGGGCTGGGAATGCAACACACTTGACTGAAACATACAGTAGAAAGTTAGTAACTTGACTTTAGAGCTATGTTGTTCGGACTCTTCATTCTGTTTTCAACACCCATATCTAACACTCTTTCGATATGTTTATCCGAGTCCGAGTAACATAACTTTATTTAGCAAATAAAACATATTGATGCTGAATAATTAGTATAGGTTCATTGCCTTAGAGTAGCCAAAGTCGCATATTTTGAGTCTCGGTGCAGTGCTCCCATCTAATAGCGTGTTTTCCAGCTTAAGATCCCTATGACAAATTTGCTGCATAAGTCGGGAAAATAATCTCGATTTAGCTTAAGAAAGGCAGAAAAGGTAAACTACTTTCAGAATTAGAGGGATCCATTGGTGCATATTTACCACTGCATGGCAATAACTCACTCCCGATATCAGTTGTTGAAAGAAAAACCTTGCCTGATTCAGCAAAACAATCACAAATCACAGTTCTTAAAGAAAACTAAAAGCTCAATGAAATTCAAACATGAAGAAAAATGGTGTCACCTACTTACCTATCGACGGCTGAGAGACAAAACTAAGTGGCTGGAATTACACGTGGCGAGTAATTAGTGGTTGAAATATGGAGCAAAAACAGAACAAGTTGATTTCTTAATCATTTGACAATGAATGGTCAATTATTTTACAGTTGTTGGTGTTCGAATTTAAAACTTCTAAGAACAACAACGATTTTTTTAACCATTAAGATAAATTAATTTATACTATTTACACCTATTTTTTAAATATATTTTTCTTTAAAAATTAATATTACTTGTAATTTCAAAAATATCTTTTATTAAAAAATCACTTTTAATAAGCAAATGTGAACGAGACTCAAGTCACGTTAGCTATAAGCAAAGCGAGTACACAATGTGATGATACTCATTGAGAGTGGGACTGCAAACAAAAGAAAATTGTACAAGATAAACTATTTCGAACTACGAGGAGAAGATGATAAGTGACAGACAGTTAGAATAGAAGAATGATGTGGACGGTCGTGGAGGGTTTGTTCACTGAAAAGGAATCATAATTGATTTTTCATTTTTTGTTTATTTAATTATAAAATAAAATAAATTTTTTTATATAATAGAACATTTTATTTAAATTTTAGTTGGTTATTATGTCATTCATTAGAATAAATGAGTTGATATTTAAATTTTTTTTGTTTGTATATGGAAAGACATCCATTTATTAGTATGTATCAAGTGAGTTTGCTAATTTATTTATTTGAATTCTAAGTTTTAAGTTAATTGATATTTGCTCCGTTCAATTAAATTTATTCATTTTAAATTTTAAACTTATTTTATTCAAAATGTTATACTAGAAAAATAAATAAATAATAAGATATATATCTTTTTTATATTTATTTATCTTATTTTTTACAATAAATTTGTCAAATCTATCCATCACTTATTATATATAATTTTTTTCATTTCTTTTATTTTATATAACACAACATATGATCAAATTTTTCTCTTAAAATTACGTGATGGGTCAACATAGGACAAAAATTATAAGATGGAAAGATTATCATTTATTATTTTTTTTATATTTTTTTTTATTTTAGAATGGTGCAATGCAAAATTCCTTTTCCTTGGGAAAAATAAAAATGTAATTGTTTCGACTTAATTAATAAGATTATGTTATTTCAATAATTCAGAAAAATAATGTTAAAATCTTTAATTATATATGTTTTTAATTACTCAAACACATATAAGTAGATTACGAGACCCTTCTATAGTTGAGGTTGGGGTGTTCAAATCCGGGTATCGGTACTCGAGACTTTCGGGTCATAAAAATTTGGCCCGTGGCTCGGTCCGTAAGAGACGAGTATCCATAAAGCTTGGGTACCCGCATTTTCGGATCACATGTATACGGTTAATATTTATTTTATTTTATTTTTTAAATTTATATTATTTTTTTAAAAACCCACATATAAAAAACACAAATTTAAAACTTAAAAGTTATAATACATCACATAAACATAAAATTTATAAATTCAACTTATATAATCTAAAAAAATTACAAAATAAAAAATAAAATAAAATTATAAAATTACAACTAAATTTGAAATAATTTGAGATTAAAAGAAATTATTTAATAAATAATTAAAGGTTAAGGTTTAAAAAAATAGAGATTTAGAATATTAGGGTGAAATAATTTTGAAATTAGAAATGAAAAATCTAATTTAAAATAAAAATAATAATAAAATAATAAAGGGAAACCAGGTCGGCGGGTTGATATGTACCCGATTAAGGGTAATTTTGTGACTCGAACCCCACCTGAAAACCCGTAAAAAATAACAGGCCGGATACTCGACCCGAAACATCGAGTATTTACCTTTAAAATACCTGATAATTTTATACCAGGTCGGTGGGTCAACGGGCCGGATAGTTCAGACTAGGTACTTTTGAACACCCCTAGTTGAAGTTACCACACTCATCGTCAGTATACAGTCTACGAGTAAACTTCAATTTTCAAATATAATTGTCGAGAATGATGCTTCTAATCTAATTCGTCAGCTACTTAATCATTATCTTATTTTTTATAATAAATTATTATATTTAGATAAATTTCAATTGTATTATCCAAGAAGTAGAAGATAGTTATAAAGTTACAAAATAAATGGGATCACTAACAAAAATTTTAGGGAATATCCCATGCTATACAAAGCTTATTATTTATAATGTCTGAGCAACTAAACCGACTGCTGCTAACCTTTACCTTAACAGCCTTCTTTATAGCTTCCACAATCTCCTGCACAGTCTGAGATCTACCCATGAATAGAATTCATTTATTCCCAAACATAATAGATATGAGCACACCAAACAAGTACTATAGCAAAACTGTTCTGTAGCAGCGTTTTTAGCAGTGTTTGGAGAGTAAACGCCACAAACTTTCCTTGCTAAATGACAATTTTATCCTTTACTTCAATTAATAATTAGCAACAATCCTTCACAAAATATTTCTAAATAAGTCCCTGAACTTTTTAAATTATCTATTTTGATCAACAAATTCTAAAATATTTCAATTTAGTCACTAATCCGGTATTGAGGATGTTATAAAAACCCTCTAAATTCTCTAGTATTGGGACAAAGCTAGAATGATTTGGGATGGTTTTGAAGCTAAATGGGTTAGGGTATTTATAGTTGAAGTTTAAGGACTAATTTTATAAATACTCTAAAGTACAGAGACTAAATTTGGTAATTTTCTCTGGCCAATTTTCAATCAAAATCTGTTGTCCACGTGGACCACCGTATTCACTAGCACCCGTGTATTTTGACAGCCGTATTTTGACTTTGAAAATAAAACTCCAGGTTGAATTGCAGATTCTTTTGCCCAATACATATTCGAAGATGAGTACGAAGATATGAACTTGAATATATTAGTACTATATATACTCGACATTTACACCCGAGTCCGAGTAATATAGTTGCTGTTCTCTTCTATAAATACTGCCTCAAATTAGGGAGTTGAGTTCATTCTAAGCATGGGATCAATCACTAAGCCTCACGCAGTTTTTGTCCCATACCCAGCTCAGGGCCATGTAAACCCTTTAATGCAGTTAGCTAAGCTTTTACATTCAAGAGGCTTCTACATCACCTTTGTCAACACTGAATTTAACCATAGGCGCCTAGTGAGGTCCAAGGGTCCTGGATTTCTCACCAGCCAGTCCGACTTTCGGTTCGAGACCATATCCGATGGGTTGCCGCCATCAGACTGTGATGCAACCCAAGACATATGGGTTCTGTCCGATTCGGTTAAGAGAAACTGCTCTGGTCCATTTAGGGAGTTGCTGGCTAAGCTAAATGGTTCGTCAGATTGCCCACCTGTGAGCTGTATTATTTCAGATGGTTCCATGAGCTTCACAATTAAAGCAGCTAAGGAACTAGGCATACCTGAAGCTCAGTTTTGGACCACCTCGGCTTGCGGTTTCATGGCATATTTGCATTTCAGTGAACTCATCAAAGGAGGCATTGTTCCATTTAAAGGTACACTTTTCTACCTCATTAATGAAGAATCACACGATCAACTAAGTTATTTTCTCTGTGTCTGCAGATGAAAACTTCAGCAACGATGGCACACTGGACAAACTGGTCCACGGAGTCCCTGGTATGAGCAACATGAGCCTCAAAGATTTCCCAACATTGATAAGAACAACGAATCAAACCGACATAATGTTGAATTTCATGAGTGAAGAATCTCGAAATTGTCTAAAATCTTCAGCAATCATTTTAAACACATTCGATGAGCTAGAACACGAAGTGCTGCAGGCAATCGCCGCAAAGTCCCCAAACATTTACACCATAGGCCCCCTTTCGCTGCTCGAAAAGCTCACTCCTCTCGGCCAAGACGACTTGCTCAGGTCCAGCTTATGGAAAGAGGACTCGGAGTGTCTCGAATGGCTTGACGAGAGACAAGCTAACTCGGTGGTGTTCGTTAGCTATGGCAGCATAACCGTGATGACACACCAACTGTTCCAGGAATTTGCTTGGGGTCTTGCGAACAGCAAGCACCCGTTTTTATGGGTGGTGAGGCCTGATATGGTGATGGGGAGCCCTGAAATCTTGCCGGAAGAGTATTACAAAGAGATCGGAAACAGGGGATTAATGGTGAATTGGTGCCATCAAGATCAAGTGCTTTCTCACCCTTCAGTTGGGGCGTTTCTTACACATTGTGGTTGGAATTCGACACTGGAGAGTATCAGTGGAGGTAAGCCTGTGATTTGTTGGCCGTTTTTCGATGAGCAGCCGACGAATTGTTTGTATCTGTGCAATCAATGGGGAATCGGAATGGAGATCAGTAATGATGTGAAGCGTGATGAAGTTACAAGTATTGTGAAGATGATGATGGAAGGGGATAAAGGGAAGAAAATGAAGAACAAAGCTCTGGAATGGAAGAAGAAAGCTGAAGAAGCAACAAAGGTTGGAGGGACTTCTTACAATAACCTTAATAAATTCATAAAGAACATACTATAACAATGTCTTCCGGTGTTGAGGTTTTTGTATTAATGTTGGATCATTGGATTTTTTCTAAGTTGAATGTTAATAAGTTGACGGAGATCAATTTCCGTTATGTTATTCCTATAACACTAAGTATTGAACAGAAAATCAATTCACCATCAGAGTCTACTACCCTTTCTTTTATTAATAGTAATTTTATTTTGGGTAAAGTACACAAATGGTCCTCCAACTATATAATATTACTTTGTTGAGTCTCTCGACTATTAAAAGTTACAAAATGGTAGTCCGACTATTCATTATGTTTCAAACTCATCATTTTCCGTTAAAAAAATAACGGCAATTTGAGTTCGATGTTAACATGTTGATTGAGATATGATAGTTGTTTAAGATTATGAGATCAAATTTTATCATATCTCGATTAACATATTAACTCCAGCTCAGAATGTCGTTAACTTT